TGTATGTCAAAACCCCACCGTTGGAATGATGCAGACCTGCGGCTTCATACCACCACAACCGCACCTATTTTACGGTTACCCACCAACTCAACCACCATTTGATTACCCACCGACCACACCACCGTTTGGTTACCTACCAACTCCACCACCACTTGGTTATCCACCAACTCCACCATTGTTTGGTTACTCTCAAATGTACCACAACCAGCCAATGTTTGCGTTTTAGATATTTGGAACATTTTAAATCATATTATTAGAAAAACATTGTACTTTTGTCGTTAAGAATCCATAGTTATGGAGGAACGTGTATCGTAACTGAGGTTACGGAAAAACGGATCTATATGTAGAATGAGTATGCGCGCATGAGTATTAGATAGGTTTGATAGAGTTAATGGGTTGTGTCTGATCAACCAGCCCAGGTGTCTTAGGTAGAAGATATCAACAATTCTAGAGAAATACCTGTAAATGATAAAATAAGAAGAAAGATCCGTACATGTCATGGATGGCATTCAATGAGGAGGGGAGAGTGATACCGTAATGAACGATAATATATGCGAACAGTTTAGAGACTGGTACGAGCGACCAGCGGCGCGCCTCGCGTGCTCAGAATACGTTCGAGAAACGTTGCGTTTTGAACTAGTGTTATTCTAGATTATATCTTAGTATTATAAACATATTTGAAGCGATTCTATACACAATAAAACGATAAAAGTCATAAAACATCGTGTGTAGTATCGAGTAACACTGTCTTGTTTAGTTATTTCATATACGCAAAGGGCCAAAGGCCGTCGGGTTTTAAAGGAATTATAAAATCAATATTTAACACAAACTTACCTTCGTTAACGTCGGCTCCCTTCTTTTAGCCGATTCTTTCGCCGTTTCTATCTTGAAATTTACAAAATCTTGCAAAAATGCGAGTAAAATTGAAGTATATTTGCAAGAAATTTATCAATCATCAAATCTGTGATCAAATCAAGAATTGTTTGCTATTTCGTTGTCGTCATACAGTCGTTATGATGCAAACTTTAAATTGGACCAATCAGTGTCCGCTATTCATGACAGTCCGCCATACTTTGAGATCAGTGAGGATGACCACCCACTCAACACCGTTGGTCACCCACGCCCGCGATACTTGATGAACTTTAGACTCCGCTAATGCTTTCGTTTCCCCGGGTGTAAATAGCCGGGGGGAATTAGTACCCTCGCACGGCGCTTCGCGCCGTCGGCTCGGGGATAATTCTTAATATCATTCAAACTTATCTCTTTTCACGACTGAGCACAACTCTTAATTCCTGACAATTCTTTATCTTTAATATTTCGCCTTTGTATTATCCTTTTAATTCTTTCTTTAACTTATAGTTTCTATATCTTCATGGCGATGTTATTCAGGCTTTCGCCTTATGAATAATGCATGATTGTCTAGTGCTCAGGCTTTTAAATACGTTCTGAATTCTGATAGGGGAAGAAACTACAAAACTACGACTCATTTTCCCTGCGCAATACAGTTCGTTGAAACAAGTTTGAGTAAACCACAAATCGGGCAGCGCCATACCGAGTCCTATCCGCTACGTTAATTGTGGGACATCTCAATTTTTAAAACTATTTGCTTACTCATGCATGTAAGCTATTTAATATGAATATAAGCATATAGTATAAAGATATTTAATATATGTAAAACAACATGATATTGCTTATCATGTAACAATAGACACAAAAAGTGATTGTACCCAGTAACGAACTTGGCTCATAATAAGTGGTCATGTAACTATTTTGAGCGACGAGGGCGCTAGCCATCTGTAGAGGTCCGGGGCTTGTTCCCCCTGGAAAAAAGTATTGCATTGCTTGCAAAAAGTATATGCTGTATAAGACATTTAAGCGAGTAGTATGATTTTCGTAGCCGATTTTGAGATTTTAACGCTCAAACAATGCGAATATGCGCATATTTATGCCAATAGCTACTATTTTGCCTACTTCAAAATTCTTTAACTCAAAACCTGTTTGAAAATTTTGCATTTTTAGTCAAACATAGTAATTTACTAGCCAAAATTTTAAATTCTCAAATTTTCGGCTATCAAGCGAATCTGCTACCAAGAGCAATGTGGCTCTGGTTACGAGATTCCTCTCCGATCCAGCCAAAATCACAGGTTCCAGCATATATGGTCTTGTTCACCAATGTTTCGGCTATAAGAAAATGCCAGTTGGCAGCTTGTAACAAAAATGCCACCAGAGTGTGGTTTTCAGAGAGTTGGCCGGTCCTTTAATATACATCCTGATGAAGAACATTCAAAGAAAACCGACTCGACTATCACATAAGGTCTTTTGCAAATTCGTAGATAATTATAACTATGTCAAAAAAGTCAATTTATTTAATTCTCCAATATTATTACAAGTAAAGCATCTGTTGAAAGACTAGTAATTTGAACTTTCGCTTCGAGTAACTGCAATGCTTAACTTAACGTTTTAACAATAAACTATTTCATGTATTTACGTTCACTTGTTCTTTAATTTGTTGTTTCTTTGACTATTGATATATAACAAGACGCCTGCTCAGGCGTTCACACTGGCCTTCGCGGTTACCATCGCAATATTCTAAAAAATAGGTACGTAGTGCGTACATGTTGCATGCCATCAAAACCATGAAACCTCATAACTCAGAATACTATACAGAAATCATGGTCATCTCCATTGTTTTCTGTGTAAGTGTTATTCGTCATGATTTGTCACTCGGCAAGTACAGTAAACAGAAGCAGTCACTTCCTGGCACTGAACAAAGATACACAGAACGTCGATTAGAGCATAGTCTTTCGAAACATGGTCTGGAAATTCAGTAAACTTCAAAGCGGTTATAATGAGCTGGGATTTTATGTTGAGCCGTACCTTACACCGTGCACATCCTTTGTTTTAGGTTTATTAATATTTAAATAACATGGTTGAATGACTGAACTGAAACGTCGCTGTTGGATGATTCGTTCATTATACTGAAATACAATGTGTTCATTGACTGTGCACTGTGCACAAAACTGCATAAACGCGAACAAAAAGATAGAACAAAGACTTTAGCGGAGTTTCCAAACCATGTTTTGAAAGACTATGATTAGAGTAAACGCTGCCACGTCCCAACCAGTGCACGCCAGGCAACCCCCCCCTGGACGTCTGTCATTTT